GACTTATAATTAACTTTTCCCACAATGAGAGGAGACCTCAAGTTACTATTAACATTTACTTAGCCCTACTTTCCAAAGGATATTCTCGTCCAGAATAGACGGGCCTCCAGTTTTATCTCGTCGTCTCAGCTCCTTATTAATAATTCTAAGATGAATTAACTTATCAGTGTTATTAATGGGGCGAAAAAATTCCGTTCTGAAACTTCCCTTTAACAGATTCTTGGTAAGTGATGCAATTATCAGAAGTTCTCGCAGGGCACTTACTGGACGACGAGTTGATGAGATCCTATTGGCTGTCTGGTCTTCAATGGGCCTTAGATCGTCATCTTGACAACCATAGTCACCATCTCGGACATCTTCGGTTGCAAGGCTCCTTGACCTTCTCATCCGGAAAGCAGATCCGGGCGAGGTATCAGCGACCTCCGGATCATCATACGAGGCATAAGAGTGAAGCCGTGCTGGCGATGGGCAACAGTGTCTAGGCGTGGGCTGAGAGGTAGAAGAGGCCAATGTTTCAACATTCTCTGTTCCGTCGTGGCTATATTTCCTTGTCCGCCCCTCCATCTCTTCCCATGTCTCTCCATGTTCCCGTTGCCCGGGCCCATCTTCATTGGAGGGTAGCTTTACACTCGAAAATAGTGCAGTAGCTTCCGCTTTTGGTCGACCGACAGAATCGCTTTTCTCCGATGGTTGCGAGTGGGTATAAACGGGCTTTCGGAAATTCGATGCAGGGCAATTGCCACGTTTTGTGGCAACCCCCTTCTCAGAGTAGGCTTGCCATGTGGCCAGGATGCTGGAGAATGGAGACACTGGCAACTGGATGGCGGGATCATCCGTCGCCTCGGCCGAAAGCAGGCTTTCTGTCGACTCTGGTGAGACAATTGGTTGTAGGCATTGCTGGTCTTGAGACTGTTGTAGTGACAAATGTTCTGGTTGTTGTTGGACGAGGGATTGTGAGAAAGAAGTGGTGCGCAAAGAAGCCATACAGCAATGCCATCCAGGCTGATGTGTATGTGGAGCACAGTCCGGTTGAGGGGAATTTTGCGCCAGAACGTCCGAAGAAAGCCGCCTGTCTCCCGGGGACTGGGGACTCGGGCCCAGGGACTGTACTTGCTTGGTGACATCACAAGAGGCTTGAGGTAGAGGTTGGGACGCAAAGTGGACCGGAAGATGAATCAGAGTTGAACGGGCCAAGGGCGACGGCGACGGTGACGCCGATGGTGCCGAAGCCGAAACGGTTTGAAGAGGAGAAGGGGCCTGACCCACTTGTGCTTCTCCACGGTGGGGTAGGCAGAAGGCATACGATGCGGAGTCGTCCGTTCGGTGGAAATTTGAGAAACCATGAGGCTCAGAGTGCTGCGAAAACCGATAGACAACTGGCTCAACGCCATGATAGAATGGTGATGTGCATGGTCGGATCAACAATGTTGCATTGTTATAACCATGCATGTAAATGTATATATGTGCATCTATGAATATATATATATATATATATATGTGTGTGTGTGTGTCTGTATGTGTATGCAATCGTACTTAATCAAGCGGGCAAATAGAATGGTTAAATAGAAAACAGTCTCCGTAATAATGCTTCCCTGCACATCGATGAAGTCGAGCAAAAATGGAAAAAAATGTAATTAAAATGACCTCGTTTTCACGAATTGGTCGTGCTCTAGGGGTGACCACGAAGAACGTACCTTGTACAGCAACCTCTGCCAGCTCGTCCAGAATCGGACCTGTGTAATATGATTCTTATGCAAGACCATTTTTACCAGTTTTCACCTTCATTCAAATCAAAAATAGCCCTTGGATCCATTCTTAGGAAAGGGCGACTACAATGAACCTGCCATTTTCGGCGTCCACCTCCAGAGTAATCACGATACCTCATTTCGTGTACCAAGTCCACAATAGGACGCAGGACATTATCATGACTGCTCTCGCAGTGGACACAAGAAGGGCTAGGTTCTTTGAGTTTGCCTTTGCCAAGAATGAATCCAGGGGCTAGAGTTAACTCGAAAAGGGGCAGAGAACTAAAAACAGGTCTTACATGCTGATCATAGCACCCATTCCGATTAAGGAAGAACCTGTTCTCCAACTTACGGGTCAGGATTATGCCAAGAGACGATGGCGCTCTGCGCCCACTCGAATCCGCTGAAAGCTCTGTGCTGTTGGTGACAAGAAGCTTGCATTATAACAGAGCAAGCTTACACACGACCACAAAAGCTTTGTTCATCATTGTGCTAATCTGTGATCATGTGTTACAATTGCGAATGGGGAAGAAGCTCTCCTGAATCCATAGCTCGACTAATATTATGCAAAATACTTTACAAAACTGAGGCAACAAAATTTTCCTAGATCAGAATCTTGTATTAAGGCCTAGTTGTATACCTCGTTCTATTTTGAGGCTGGACGAAATCTGTCAACAGGCCTAGGAATAGTATTTTCCGTACGAGTGGTTTCGAAACTCGCACAATTCTTGAATGGGAACTTACTCAACATGAATTGATCAAGGTGGATGAATATAGATAGTGGAGCTTTTCCTACCATGAATAATTAAGCCTTAACATGGCATTAGATTTCATTCAGCCTTGAACTACCAAAAAGTTAGCTCATCAAGGCCTGACCGAAGTTTTGACTTCACCGAGGCCTCAGCACTCCCAACGGGTTTCTAAACCCGGCTTTTCACATTTGAGCGACAAGTTATTATTCGGCTGTACAGCCAAATTGTCACTAGGCCACAGAGTAGATATGCCATTCAAGGCAAGCCAGAGCTGTATAAAATCACATTTAGCTTGGAATTGTCGACGAAGAAAACTCTGGTTTGTCATTACATTCGATGACGGTGCCAATTTTCTAAACTATCAGTAAGAACATAGTCACCATAATTCGCTTATGGCGAGTTACGAACTGTGGTGTGCTAGTAGTGGGCGGAGCGATAACGCGTCACCATGATGTGCACGACCTGGTTTGGAATCCCGTTGGAGGGCTGATGAGACAAAGCATGGTCAAAGCTACAGTCCACACGGGCAAGTATAACAGTCTTTCATCACCCTAAACGAAATAGTGTGAACACATCTCATATATCTGATTTACTGGTAGTCTCGAAAGCCTAGTTACAAACGAAAAATAAGTATGGCACCTAGTTTGGAATTAATGATAGTCTCAAAATCTACTCATATTGAAAATGAGTAACATCGTAGATGACAACGGCAAACACATGCCTGCATAATCGACAATTTCATCACAAATGTGAGGTGGGAGAGGCCTGACTTACCTTAAATGCCGTATCTGCCATCTGACTCACTGACACCATTGACTGCGGTGAAGTGGTAACCTCGCCACGATAATAACGACCCGGTATCGAATCCCTCTGGGGCTGGTGATGAGTTCTAGGCTAGGTCGAAACTTCAGGCTTAGCTAAATTCAATGACATCCTGAGGCCTAACCATTTGATTGTGAGAAAACTCAATTATCAGTTCCTAGATCAACATAAGTGAGCCATGGTCAGCAAGTTGATATTCAAGGGTGAGTGACATCGTAAGGCCTAGTTTTTCGATATGGAAAAAAATTCACTGTTAGTCCTCAAATCACATCAAGCGCCCTAGGATTCACTAAACTCGTGTGCATACAACTTATGTTTACAACTAAATGAATTTTATATATATGGTGTAAGCTCCTGCTTCGGATACGTGACATGAAATCAAATGAATTAGCTTCTTAAATATGGTGTCGAAGATATGAAGATCAGGATGGAGGTTTGATCGCGGTTTCCTTCAATTGGGTCGATTTGATTTGACCTCGTTTTGCTTATACTTGTTCTTTTGCCAAATTTTAGTCGGCACCAAGGCTGGCGCATTTCTTTGACGCTGCTGGCGAACCGTCCCATGCAAGAAATATATATGATCCCAATGACAAAAGACCATGTACGGGTAAGTTTTTCAGAGCATTTTCGTAAACCCGGCTAAGTTGGGAAAATGGAACGAAACCAATTCAATAAATCTAATATGCAGAATGGTTTTGTAGAAGTCGAGAAGTGGTATTGAAAATCATCTCGGCTTTCGTGATATAAACTTCATTAACTACTAACAAATTAGGCAAAATGTTACCTTATCGAGAATAAATCATCCGGTGTGCGCCAACTAACATTAGGGCGCATTTCCTCTCAGCAACGTGTTCACGACTACAATTTATAGATGAAGTTTAGAGGATAATCAACGTGGAACTATAAATTTTCTGTGAACACAGCTGAATTTGAGAATAAAATAAAGGGAGTGTAAAGATGGGGTTCTATAAAATATCATCTTTAAGAGCTGGTTAAAGCGTGTTCACAACGAATTAATTTGTATTTCAGCCATGGTACTCTTGGGGGACTTCAAGAGCCATTAGCTCCGCGTTAAATGGTTGAGCCGGAGTTTAATGGAAGAAAAAAACGTAGAAGTGTTCAGAAGGATACTAGTATAATCAAGTAACCGAATCATGAGTAAAGTAATATTTTAGGATATGGGCCCATTTACTGAAGTGTTTACATCCAGAGACCGATAAAATACTCTTAATTGTTTGCAAATTTGTGGGGGGGGGCTTTAGCGTAGGGTCGATGCAAACATGGTATCTCAAGCTAGTCGTTCACCTGATGAGTCAACTGTGATGATAAACCACTTTGAAAGATGACGAATGTTGGTCAGACAGTGTTCGGCCCGACTGTGGATGGGGACATGTAGAGAAAATGCTTTATGGCATAGTGAATTCTTCCGATAGTTGATGGTATGTGTCTGTTCAGAATTATAGGTGAGAAACCGCGATGTAAATAACATCGTTGCTAGTGAAGGAGATAACACCTTTACAGCTGAAAAAGCAGGCGAAAAAGGTATAGAAAAAAACTAAAATATAGAACGCGCTTTTCTTTGACTGTGGCACTTGAATTTGCTTATTTTTTTTAAGCCCCCTCATAAATGATGAAATCCTATTCTCATGACACCCAGCTAAAGAGAGACTTGTATGTTAAAGTTGTGATTAGCAAAAAGAGGATGATTTGAAATGTAATAAACGAATTTGTGATTCATTTGTTGAATATGACTGAATGTAAATTGGAGACTCACGCGGATTATTCTTCCTACACTCATCGTATTTTTCCAAGAAGTGGTTCAATGTGTCCCACCCTCCGCCAACACGAACCATCACGTGGTTTCGCAAAATCTACAGTTCAAAAAAGGAAAAAAATTAATGAAGCCTTGATCCAACTTCGAGCCAGCATATCATTATTTAGTATAAGTCCACTTTATAAGACGTATAGTAACTAAGACGCGCAAAAGCTTAGTTGTGTCATGGTAATGCTACTTATAAGTAGTATCTATTTGCGTGTACAGAGGCACTAACAAAGACGAGCAATTTAGTCACCTTAATAGATAACGTGGACAACATAATACACAAATGTTGTAAAGTATTAATTATCAATAATAATACAAATGTAATCATAATATTTTCAACTTATTAACTTGATGTGACTCGAAATTTTATTTCGAAGGAAGAGTTGGCCAGAAGGGATTCCTGAATTGGCTCTACCGCAAGTCGAAGGATGATTTATTTAGAGTGGAGACTAGTGGAGTGTGCAAAGAAGTCTTTAGCTTATTGTCCTACGACCCAGATGAATCTGTGCTTAGTTTTAGTCTGTCATTAAAAGCCAGCATAATAAACTAAGAGAAAAGGTGACCCTCGATAAACCTACTCCTTATGCTTAATCTTAATGAGGCATCTCATGATTGAGTTGTCAAGTCCATGCTTATTCAGCATACTTTCAAATAAGTGAAGTCGATGCAGTAACAGATTTTCATACATATATAAGCCAAAGTTTAATCCTACAATAATGACGCTAATTCAGGCATATCATTATTCCTGTATTATGCATATGTAATGTACAACTTTAGTGAGGTGAGAGGGCCCAAGCCAAATTCAATGCCGTTCAAAAAGCATTCTCTTGCTCAACGGTTTTTCCTCCTAACCCGCTCTCTATTCCTTTCAGACATCCGCAAATATTTTCCACTGACGTTCCTTGACTCGTTCCTCCTTTTAACAGTGTTGGATATCTTCTTGCTTTTTAATCACTCCCTAATCTAACTTTTATCTATGAAGTCATGTATTAGCCACATGTTCAGCTAGTTCCAATTTTTTGGACGTATAGTCCTTTACAAGCGGTTTGTGTTCAGATAATCTTTTCTTGATGGGTAAGCCGGTTTGCCCCACTTACACATTACCACATGGGATCAAAACCTTGTAACATCCTGATGTAGAACGAGTATGCGAAAATTCTCGAAAATATGGCATAACTGAACAGTGTTAGTTCCACTGAGGTTCCTCTGATGTTCTTCGTCCTTAGCCTTTCACTTGTATTTTTCCGAAACTGACATGACAGTTATTACATTTATGAGCATTGAAAAGCAATAGTGTATTAGTTCTAGTATATAAGCATTTTGATGAATATATCCCTTAATCTACCAATTTCCTGATCCAGCAATTTGTGTCAGCTACACGCAGACTGCCTATTCTCCTCAAATTCAGAACTTATATGCATGCCTCGTACTTATGAATAGAAAAGAAGTTAATATAACTTGAGTGTGTGGTTTTCCTAAACGCATATGTACCCTACTTATTACCCTACTTACTCACTAGGACTAGAAATTATATCCCATCCTACTTTTTTAACTCTTAATTAAATAGGTTTATTCCGTCTAATCCATTAATAAATATGTTGTGTTCCAAAGAAGGATGTGGACTGTCCCTAAAATATAAAACGTATGCCCTTTACAACTCCAAAGATGGAGGTCCCGAAACGAAGAGAGAAAAGGAACAAATAGTATTAGCGATTTTCCTATTTTGAAATGGCCGAAATACAGTATGGGGGAGCTGGCAATAAAAAAATAATCATTCAAAGGTGGCGCCGAATAGAACATTATAAACCCCACGGGCCACGGTGGAGCGGAGAAAGATAAGGAAAAAAACGTTACTGATTTAAGCAGAAGGTTAGCTATCTAATATATACTCTTGCGTAGTTTCCATGTCAACTTCTGATTGTAAGATGCAGTGACAAGCTTTAATTGGGCAACACGAAATAGAGTCAAGATTAGTCATGCACTCACGTGATCTCTGCTCCAGAGGATGCTGAGCCATGGTTACTTATGGGATGTAACAAAAGCTA